ATATATTTAATACGTTTTTAATGAAAATAATATTAGTACGTCTGTTGAATCGTAAAAAAAAAAAAAAGAAGAAAAGATTTTCAACTTGACTTTGATCTTTCATCTTAAATAGAATATTAGTACGTCTGTTGAATCGTAAAAAAAAAAAAAAGAAGAAAAGATTTTCAACTTGACTTTGATCTTTCATCTTAAATAGAAAATTAAAAAAAAAACTAAAAAAAAAAAAAACATGAGCAAAAAAAAGAAAAAGAAATTTAGAACGAAGATAAGATTATTCGTGTGACGTTATCGTACACGCCCACTAATTTCCGATATATATATTTTCAAATACTAAAAATCATATCGACAATTTGCAAGTAGTCTGTTTTAACAAAATGATATCTCATTTTTGACATAAATATGTATATTAATAATAATAATCATACGTCGCGAATTACATTTTTTTTTTCTTCAAGTTCAATATAAATCTTCTTCTTCTTATCAAAGTAGGAAATTTCCTATCATATTTTCAAAGAAAAAAAAAAAAACGCCTTTTTTAATCAAAATATCGTACGACATAACGAGGTTCGTTTCCTTGGCCGTTGTTTTGACCCCGTCGTCCGATTCATGAGATTTTTAATTATATCCAAATGAATAATAATAATAATACTAATAATAATAATAATAATAATAATAATATCGATCGAACATCTAATTTTTGTTTTTTACTCTACGGGTCTGTGTACTCTCAATTTAACTTCAATTGAATTTAATTTCGCGTTCTAATTTGTAATTTTATTCTTAACATTAGATTTACGGATGTTTTAATTTCATTATTTTTTTTAATGATTTAATAACATTGTTTGAATGAAGGATTGAGTAAAAAGAATGGGACTAATATTTACGTATATTTCATGACGTATAACTAAAAACCACAATATCAGTTTTTTCAAAAATAGTATTTAAATTTTTTATAAATATATAATAATCAATCGAATGTTCTTCAATGAATCAAATTAGCTCAATTCGTAAATCTAATGTTAAGAAATTTATTCATACAAAATTTCTATTTCTAATTTATCAGTTTTATTTCTAAGTTGAGTTTTTTTTTCTTTTTTTTTGTTTTTTTTTTTTACGAAACGATAAGCATAATTTAAACTTCACATTGTATCGGGACTATGCAAAATTTCTTATCCTTGTCAAAGAAAGACAATAACAATGAAGAAGAAGAAGAAGAAGAAGAAGAAGAAGAAAGAAAAAAAAAAAAAAAGAGAAATGTTTAAGAAAAATATTTCGTACGAAATGTTTGCTTTTTAATTAAATTGCAATAAAAAGAACAACAACAACAACAAAAAAACACAATAAAAGAAAAAATATACCGGAGGAATTTTCGAAGAAGCAACAAACAAATTGGCAGGAAAGAAAATATTTTGTCCTTCACCCGGTGTCATCCCACCCCTCCTCCCCACCTTGTACCAAACAACCTCTCAGATATATTTTTTCGCGTGTCGATGTAAGAAAAAAAAAAAAATAATAATACGAAAAAACAAAACATCGAATTCGTGTCCGTTTTTTTTTTTTTCTTTGGGTAATAGTTGCATAATTCTCTTTGCGTTTGAATGATTCGACATACACCTTTCAAAGGCTCGGTCGAGTTGCATAATTTTACGATGATGCTGATGCTGATGATGATGATGATGATGATGATAATGATGATGATGACGTTATTACACTTTGCGATGATTGTGATACACATGCTGGTTGGTTGCATTGCGGTACAGATAAAAAAAAGAAAATATTGAAAAAAATAAGAAAAAAATAAAAAAAAAAATATTAAAAAAAAATAAAAAAAATGTCGTAGCAACACTCAATGCGACAACAATACAACAATCGATACAACAATCGATAGGAGAAAAAAAAAACCCATTCGTATTATCTTGTTCGTCTTAGATGCCGGTTATAATCGTTTATCACGTTTTAAAACTAACACACAACTAATGGAAAAATCTCTGTCTACTTTCTACGAGTGTCTTTCATTATCTAACCGATTGTTTTTTTTTTTCTATTTTTTTTTTTTTTT